AAATATGAGTTACATAGATGGAGAGGACTACATAGACACAGCAGTAGAGGCACAGAAAGAATGAGTCAAAAAAGAGTAAGAATCATCACAGAAAGGCGGGGGGAGACAAGCAGGTAGCTGCAGTTATTCCCTTATATTGACTTTTTAAATCTTCAAATGTACAAAGATTGTAAAAAAAAAAAAGTCTAAATCATACATATTCAGAGAAGAAAAGCATTAACAAATCTAAGGAAACCTAGGCTAAAGATAAGACATGCAGGGCCTCCCCGGTGGCGCAGCGGTTGAGCGCTGGGTTGCAAAGCTGCCCGCCGCCTCTGCGGCACCGGTTCGATCCCAGCTGCTCCCTGGCCACCGGAGGAGGGTCCCACATGGCGCGCGGACCTCTCCTGCCGCCCGCTGCTCCCCTCAGCAGTGTACCTCGGTCCTTCTGCCTGCTCTGCTCCCCGCTCTGGCTCTGGTGAATTCTCTCACCCTCCCGCGCTTCTGACTGTACCCAGTGCTTGTATAAATAAATAAATAAATCTTTAAAAAATAAATAAATAAAGATAAGACATGTAGTTCAAAGAGAAGAACTATAAACATAAGTCAATAAACACAAAAGTAAAGAAAGCACATGTGGTTAAAGGAATGTGAATCAGAAAAGATAATCATATTTCTGGCCTAGCTGACAGGCAAGTAATAACAAGAATTCTATTGGTAGGTACTGGTCAAACCATTATTATATGTCACTCACGACTAAGGAGAGCACTTAACAGTGTGGATTAAACATTTTTAACATGCACACCTGGCAACCCAGAAATTCCATATTAAGAAATGTACCTCAAGGAAATAGAAAGCTTACTCATTAAAGTGCAAATTATGATAAAGTAAAACTCAATTTTATCATCTGTCATTAGGGAACTAATTGATAAATTCTGTACTTATATAATAGAACCCATAAAGCTATTAAAAACTACATAAATTCGTATTCATTGACAGATGCCAATGACATATTAAATGTAGTTTAAAACATATATATATATATAGTATGATTTCACTGTTTTTGACTATCATTTCTCCTCTTCATATGAGTGTGATGGTAAAGACTGATAAAATCAGTCTGTTTTATTAAAATGTAAGAAATACCGGTAAACATTTACTTGACCATTAATAAAGCTCTCATTTTATTCTCTCATGGAGGTCTCTTTGTTATATAGCTACATTAGAATAGGGACCTAATGAAACAGTTCATTCCCAAATAAACAGTATGTGTGTGAATCACAAATATCGAAGATCTCCAAGGTTTCTATATTTTCTGATTTTTTAATATTTTTACCTTTGCTCAGTTAAAAAATGTATTTTCTGATAAAACATTTGGTAATAAAGAGAAGGGTAAACTATAAAATGGTAAGACCCATCAATAAAGGCTATCCTGACAGGTAAGTCTTCCACAACCTGTAATAAGCAAAAACATAAGCATGGTTCCAAAAAGGGAGTGGGGTGGGGGGGTTGGGGGGACAGGGAGGTATAAGCAGGTAGCTGCAGTTATTCTTTTAGAAATCAAATATTCCCAATTAATCAAATCAGTTATTCCCAAGAAATCAAATATAAAAGAGAAAGAAAAAACACTGAGAAAATAGTATGGATTTTCAAAAACATGATATCACAGAGACAGGCTTAGTGAATCTTTTTTTCTCCATAACTGATACAAACAAATAGGAACAAAAAGTAAAGAGAATATTTAAGAATGCAAGTCCTGAGGGGAAAGAGAAATACAAGCCATACAATTAGACTTCATGTTCAAGTTCTGGGAAGGAGATTCAACCAATTCTTCTAAACAACCAATAACACAGCCATGGATTGTTCAAGCAAGTTAGTTGTGGGCAAATAAGTAGTTTTCACAGAACTGTTCAGAAATAAGGACAGGTAATCTGAAAACAGAAAAGGATTTACATATTTTTATTTCGTGGAAGAAAGGAAAGAAGAAGGGAAGGAGAATTCACTTGAGAATATTTACCTGTTTTGGCCAATAAATAACTGTACTTTAACTCTAGAGAAAATAAAAAAGAGCAGACTTAGATCCACAATAAGCTAAGAAAACAGAATTTAGAAGGCAACTGCCAAAACTGACACAATTCATGGAAAAATTAATAAAAATCTGTTTTTAGGGAACCAAGGACAAGCACCAAAGAAGAAAACTGAGAACAAAAATAATTGCATTATACCACTTCAAAATTAATTTACGTAACAGAAAACAGAAATCTCACCAAAAAATAAAGAAAACTACATCAAAAACAATGGTTACAAATTTAAAAGTCTTCTGATATGCAAAGAAAAAGATGCAGAAAATGAAAATAAATGCTAGGAGAGGAAAACATAGAATAGAGATGTAATATTTGGTTAAGTGGTGCTGTCCTCATCTCTCACTCCCAAGATAAAAGGTTGAAAGGAAAAGAAAAAAAATATTCCTGGATATAATTAAAGCAAATTTTTGCTGAAATGGAAATAAATTAGAATATGCAAGGAATATAGAGTTGCTTGGTATCAGAAAACACAAAACCCACATGCAGCAAAACTGAAAGGAATGATGGGGAAAATAGACAATCAATAGTAGTAGTTGGAGACAGCTACACGACTCTTTCAAAACAGCTGCAGCAACTAGACAATAAGTAAACAGAAGGCCTGAGGAAGACTACAAACCAACGATACCTAACAAATTTAATATATATATATATATATATATATATATATATATATAACTCCAACTGACAACAAAAGAATAAACATTATTCTCAAGCACACATGTTCTTCAGGAAAGACCATATGTTAGGTTATAGAAGTCACAACACTCTCATAAGGACTGAAAGCATACAAAGTATATTCTCTGACCACAATGGAATAAAATTGTAAATCAACAACAGAAGGAAAATTGGAAATTTTTTTAAAAGTGGAAACTAAGCAATACATTGGAATCTAAAACGATCCCAGTGGGAATGTAAGACCGTGCAGTCATTTTGGAAAACACTGGCAGTTATTCAAAAGGTTAAGAAAAGAGTTGCGGCGCCTCCCTGGTGGCGCAGCGGTTGAGCGTTGGGTTGCAAAGCTGCCCGCAGCTTCTGCAGCGCCAGTTCGATCCCTGGCTGCTCCCCGGCCACCGAAGGAGGGTCCCACATGGCACGCAGACCTCTCCCGCCGCCCGCTGCGCCCCTCAGCAGTGTACTTCGGTCCTTCTGCCTGCTCTGCTCCCCGCTCTGGCTCTGGTGAATTCTCTCACCCTCCCGCGCTTCTGACTGTACCCAGTGCATGTATAAACAAAACAAACAAACAAACAAACAAATAAATAAATAAAACATGCCTCTATTAAAAAAAAAAAAAAAACAGTATGCTAAAGAGAAAGAAGGCTGACATGAAGGTCACATATTGTATGATTTCATGAAATAACCAGAAAAGGCAAATTCGTGGAGACAGAAAGTAGATTAATGGTTGTTAGTGGGAAGGTGAAATAGTGATGCAAATGGGTATGAGCTTTCTACTGGGATGATGAAAAAGGTCTAGAACTAGAATGGTGGTAACAGTTACAAAATATTTGACTGTACTCAGTACCACTGAATTGTGTACTTTTAAATGATTAAAATTGTAAACTTTACCCTTTTATGTCTTACTATGCATATGCAACAACCTCGGCCAGGTTCCTTTTCCCCAGTGTTCCCTATGGAACAAAAATCTTAATCTGGGTATTCCTAATTCTTCAGTTATTTTTAAAATAAGTCATATCATACTATCTATATATGTAATCACTGTCATTTAATATCTAAAACAAATTCTGAGAAATATTTATGGTAAATTGTCTCCTTCCCTTTAGACTAAAAATCTTCAGGTATTCCTTGATCACGCAGTCCTACTGACAAAGTACTTTTCAGTACAAATTATCAAAGTAGGTATTTATTTGTAAAGCATATATTACTACTGTACTCATAAAAAGCATATGCAAAAACAAACTTTTTAAGAGGCTGAGAAAAAATGAATTCTAATAATTTTCTATACTACAATAAATCATCCTGTAAACACCTCTTTTTGGAGAGCACTTTGTAGATACCCTAAATTTTGTTTTTGGGTTAAAGTAATAGTCTACATTTGTTGACACCTTGAGATCTGTCTTTACTGAACCCCCTAAAATTAAACCATATTAACCTTACAGGTGTTACTGAACCTCTCTTAAAGATGTTATTGAGGCCTTTGTTACATTATGGTGCCTTCTCTATAAGAACAGATGAAATTTTTCTTAAGACTTAGTACCAGAAATATTTGTGATGCTTCTGAAAAAAAAACAAACAAACAAACAAACAAACAAAAAAACCCCGAAACTTTTCTATATTCTACACTCATGCAATTAATCTCAACATTCTAGCAAGACTAACTCCTAGAAAAAGGGAATCTTGTAGTTTACTTTTAGCAACTATATCCACAGGTATATTTCTCTCTCCTCTAGTTTCTACTTATTTTACCCTCACAATTCTTCACTTAAACTTATTTTTTAAAATCATGTTGTAGCTCACCACTTTCTGACTTCAATTTAATTTTTTATCATCCCAGTTCTTCCTTTACTTAAACAAATTTTATCATTTGTGCGTGTGTGTGTTTGTGTCTATGTCTAAAAGCACCATAAAATTTCTTGAAAGACAGGGAGGAATAAACAAGAACAAAAGAACCCATGCAATATTGTTCAGAATGGAGGTCATTCTAAACTTGCAGCTCCCCTGTGCCGCGGTTAGACTTTGCAGATTATGAAGCATTCAGCAGCAAAGCCCTTCATCCAAAGGATAATGCGCAAACGAGTGTTGATGAAAAGAATGACAACTCACAATAGCAATGTACTACACTTTCTCACTCTTTTCCAGTTGGTAAGAAATGTTATAGTGAGGGAAGGGCAATTGGCTTTTTTTTCACCTGTGGGCAAAGCTTAACTAAAAAGTCCATGAAAAAGGCAGTCACATTGCCAGATGGAATTTGTAGCCATGTACCTGGATGTGTTTCCTTCTGGTGTGCTCAGAGGTCATCTGGGGATGACCTATATTCAATGCTCTCTTGTTTCTGCTCCGCTTCTCAAGGTATCTCCTCTGATGGTCAGTAATGCTGCTGTATAATTTAATTTGCCTGGGTGACAGACAAACTCTTTCATGGCCAAAAGCTTGAATCAATCGGGCAGTGTCAATGGTGGAAATAGAGCTGCTCCTTTCATATGTCACTTCTTTATCTGTTTGAGTCAATATATCTGAATCCACAGAAGTGGTAGGGGAAAGGATATTGGTGGGAGTATCTGTAAGCAAATCACTCTCCTCTGAAGGCCTAGAATCTGAAGAAGTGTTGTTTATATAATGACACCCTGGCTGTTTTCTCAGAATATATTTATCAAATTTTATTTGCTCAATTTTAATCTGATTAGATCTCCCCATTTGATGAGCAGGAAACACTTTGTTTTTTTTAAGATCGCCTGTATTTTTATGGCATTTCTCTATGCTTTTATACCGCTTTTTTTTCTGAAGCTTGTTTTTCTGCTGTTGCTGTTTACCACTCCATTCCTTAACATCTTGTTCCCCTTTGCTATCATCCTGTGTGCTTTCTACGGCCTGAAGAGAGTGGGTAATGGGATTCTGAAGAAGTTTAGCCAAACGATCAAGTCGCTCCACCAAGGATAATTCTTTCTTGTCAGTGAACTCAGAAGGCTTCTGTTGACTCTGTCGCTCCTGATACTTGTTCCAGAGTTCATTCAAGCTTGCAGTGTGTTGAGTTGTTTGCTCTGGGGTGACCTTATGATACCTTTTTGGATCATTAATTTTCTGGTCAACTTTTGGATATTCTCTAGTCTGGTCATTTACTGCTTCTTTGTTTTCCAAGTTCACATTGATACTGAGGCTCTCTATTTTGGGATAATCTGCCTTACTCTTTTCTGCATTTTGAAAAGGGGGAGGAGGATAAGTGTGTTCTCGATATTTGTCTGGATGATGTTGAAAGAAATCTTTCCAAGAATGTTTCATGAAAACACTCCTTCCTAAAGACTCATGAAAAAAATCTTGATCATTTGACAGGTGTACTGGATGATGAAAGTAAAATTTGGCTGACCTGAAGACAGAATGGGTAGTATTTTCAAATCCAGATCCTAAAAAGGAAGGGAAAGAGAGACTGTGAAATACTTTAAAATATTTTCATTCCGTTTGGAAATACTATTCATCCTTAATTATATAAATGGAGACCAAAGACTAATAGAAAGAACAGTATATCTAAAGCATCAGAAAATTCACTGCCTGACCAGAAGATGCCATAGCTTGTGCTTAATGGCTATAGTACATGGTAAGTTTAAGAGACGTGATCAAAAGACCTAGATTCAGGCTGGGCTCTGTGTGACCTCAAGGAAGGCACTTTAATTCTCTGGCTTGTGAGGTTTAGGGAATGATGGTTATGTGCTGTACATCTGGTTTTTGTTTCCTGTTAATTTAATCTGGTTGAAAAACTGAGAGATAGGTATTGCCAACCCAAGACTACATTTTCTTTATTGATAACTGGGTGGGATTAAAAAAAAAATCTTTACATGTTTCAGAGACCATAAAATTCCTTTCTGTGAGCCACCTTTATATTCCTCCCATTTAAAAAACTGTGATAGAGCCTCCCCTGGTGGCGCAGCGGTTGAGCGCTGGACTGCGAAGCTGCCCGTAGCCTCTGCAGCTCCGGTTCAATCCCCAGCTGCCGGGTGAGAGTCCCACATGGCGCGCAGACCTCTCCTGTTGCCCACTGCTCCCCTCAGCAGTGTATTTCTCAGTCTGCCTGTTCTGTTCCCTGCTCTGGCTCTGGTGAATTCTCTCACCCTCCTGAGCTTCTGACTGTACACAGTGCTTGTATAAATAAATAAATCTATCTTAAAAAAAAAAAAACTGTGATAAAATACATCAACATAAAACTTATCATTTTTTTCTTTTGACAGTCATTCTATATCAAGAAGCATTTTTCAATGTAATGTCTGAAAATCCTAAATCCTAATTGTAAACACTAATATGGAATCAATACACATATTTGAAGTTATTAGTCATGGGTAGAAACAAAGATACACATGCCAGAAAAGTAACACTTGTAACTATGGAATCATTTTCACCCATGCTATAAACTGGCAACCAGTTATCTGCGTTTGAATTTCTAAGGTGATTTACCTAGGATATAGAAGGATATACAGAATCTGCTTTTAGTATAAAAAGATACTCAAACTTCCCAAAGAAAAGTACTTAATTTCAACTTATCCCATTATTGGTGATACTGACTTTGATTACTTGGTTAAGATGATGGCCAGAGTTCTCCACTGTAAAGATTAACTTTACCCTTTGATAATTGATGAGTAATGTGGGAAGATAATTTTGAGGCTGTGTAAATCTCCTGCCCCCCAATAAATTTTTGCTCAATGGTTTTATCATCATCCACTGATGATTCTTGTTTAAATCTATTATTTCTATGATGCTTTATATGAAGCCTGTCTATTTTTCCTTTGATGTTTAATAAGCATAGTATTGTAAAGAGAAATCTCCTTTTCTTATATCTATCTATCTATGTAGCTATCTATCCATCCATCTATCTATACCTAATCTCACTCTTTCCTATCTACTTTAATGTCAGTATATGACTGCATGAATTTTAAAAAATTTTTATAGTATCTCATATTTACAGAAAAACTGTGAAGATAGTAGTTTTCCTATAGTCCATATCCAGTTTCCTACATTATTAATACTTTACATAAATAAGGTACAGTTATGACATTTAATAAACCAATAAAGATACATTATTAACCAAAGTACATACTTCATCAGATTTCCTTTATTTTTATCTCCTTTTTCTGTTCCAGAATTCCATTTAGCATACTACATTACATTTAGTTGTCATTTCTCCTTAGGTTAGTCTGGACCATAACAGTTTCCCAGACTTTTTTTTTTCGTGGCTCTGACAGTTTTGAGAAGTACTAGTCAGATGTTTTGTAGAATCTTTCTCATTTAAGTTTTTCTGATGCTTTTCTCATGATTAGAATAAGGTTATAGATTTCAGAGAGGAAGACTTTATTTTTAAAGATTTATTCATTTGCTTATTTATTTATTTATTTATTTATTTATACAAGCACTGGGTACAGTCAGAAGCGCGGGAGGGTGAGAGAATTCACCAGAGCCAGAGCAGGGAGCAGAGCAGGCAGAAGGACCGAAGTACACTGCTGAGGGGAGCAGCGGGCGGCAGGAGAGGTCTGCGCGCCATGCGGGACCCTCCTCCGGTGGCCGGGGAGCAGCCAGGGATCGAACCGGAGCTGCAGAGGCTGCGGGCAGCTTCACAACCCAACGCTCAACCGCTGCGCCACCAGGGAGGCCCAGAGAGGAAGACTTTAAAGTGCCATTCTCATCATATATTGAGGGCATAAGTCATTAAACATAATTTGTCATGTTGATGTTGACCTAACTATAGGGTTGAGGTAGTGTTTATCAAGGTTCTTCACGCTAAAGTTACTCATTTTCCTCTTCCTACTATGTAGTCTTTGGAAGGAAATCACTATGCATAATCCACTATTAAAAGTAGGAATTAAACTCTGTCTCCTTAAGAATAGAGTATTTATACACAATATTTGGAATTCCATACAAAAAGGTGTTTATTTACTTATTAGCTTTTTTTTTAAATATCAGTATGGACTCTTAGATATTTATACTTCAGTTTTAATTCAACACTACTATATTACTCAAATTGCTTCAATTTCCAATTTTAGTCATTTCTACTTAGCTCTTGTGTCCCTTTGACATACTCCCCATTCAATGTTTTTCCTCCCTTACTTTCTAGCACTGTAAGATGCTCTAGGTTGGCAGAGGATTGAGGGTGCTTTGGTGATAGGTGTGGTGACACAAATCTGAATGGGTATGATCCTATGCTTCTGAATCACATACAGAGTCATAACCAATTTAGCTCAACAATAACAATTTGACAAAGATGCTCTATATTCATGTTCTATATTTCATGCTCTGATCCTAGAATCAGTCTGGTTTTTGATATTGAGCATTTTGGACCAATTTTTCCTGTATTCTCATGTTTTATTTTCTGAGATTTTTCTCATGTTTATATTCTAATCCTTAAAAAAAAATAAAAAAATATATTCGAATCCTTGACTGATATTTTTATTTCTGATATATTTTAAGGGCTCACTTAGCTACCATACACAGGTCACTATTTAATTTCCCCAGACAGGCATTGTCCCTTCTATTCTTAATCCTCTCACAGTGAAATTATTGCATAGCTTCCTAAGGAAGCTCTTCCTTAGGATTTGGAAGTAGACGCACAGTAGACTTCCATAAAAGGCGGGAGCTTATAAAACTGTGTCAGTGAATAGAGCCTGACTTTATTTTGAACACACCATCCATACTAAATGCAGCCTGGGAATGAGATATCTGGTGAGTTCTTTGTGCAGAAGTCTATTGAAGTTACCTTAGTCTATCAGTTTATTCCCTATACTGATGATTACATATATTTGTGAACAGGGCAAAAGAATAATTGAATTATACACTTTAAAAAAGGGTGAAGTATATGCTACGTGCATTATATATCAACGATGCTGTCTGAAAAAAAAATCTATGGGCATTTGGAAAGATTTTTTTTTTTTTTTTTTAAAAGATTTATTTATTTATTTATTTATACAAGCACTGGGTACAGTCAGAAGCGCAGGAGGGTGAGAGAATTCACCAGAGCCAGAGTGGGGAGCAGAGCAGGCAGAAGGACCAAAGTACACTGCTGAGGGGAGCAGCGGGCGGCAGGAGATGTCTGCGCACCATGTGGGACCCTCCTCCAGTGGCCGGGGAGCAGCCGGGGATCGAACTGGAGCTGCAGAGGCTGCAGGGAGCTTCGCAACCCAGCGCTCAACCGCTGCGCCACCGGGGAGACCCTGGAAAGATATTTTTTAAAGGGTTTTTTTTTGTTGTTTTTTGTTTGTTTTTTTTTTAACTGAACTACATTGCTAAAGGGTACCAGGAGTCGGCAAGACAAGAGAGGTCTGCTGTGTCATCTATGAGTTAGCTCCCTTGTAACATGTATTTCTTGATTTATCAGTTTTAAAGATGAAATTTGCCTACTTACACTTCCTTTAACTTCCCTTCTCTGTCGCCTTACTAGTTTTTTCCCTTTTCTTCTTGCTTTTTCTGTGTAGGTACCTGTAGAATTTGTCCTTTTTCACCACCGTATGTTTTGGTGTTGATTATTACATAGAAATTCCCCTAGGACTTGGTGTCCCTTTAAATTACACATTGTTTTCCTTACATATTATTTTTTTGTTACATACACCAACATATATGCTAGTGTTGGATTTTTACTATCAGTCCTTAGTTTTTTTTTCTAGTTGTTTTTATCTCCACCTTGTAGTTGATACAAGTTTCCCCTTTTCTTGTTTCTGGGATCCCCTAAGTCTTTCTTTACATCTTATTACCTCACCTTTATTTTCAATACATTTAAAGTCTTCTATTATTGTTCAGAAGTGTAAAATATTTAGAAAAATTTTCAAGAATATGCTTTCACTGATTATATTTCCATCTCCCCCCAACTATGTCTCCTATACTAAACAAAGCAACTGTATTTTTAATTTTACAATCTTTTTGTATGTAAGAAATTACATATTTTATGTGTCCAGTTTTTTTTAAATAATTTTTTAAAATGTACAGTTCAGTAGCATTTAGTGTATTCATAATGGTATGCAAAAGATACTGTGGTGTACACAGTATATGTCTTTTTATGATTGGCATACCTTACTAAGAACAATGTCTTTGAGGTTCACCTATGTTGCATGTGATGTATTTCTTTTTTTAATATTTTATTATTTGTATATAACAAATGTTTTTATCCATTCTTCTACTGATGGACATTTGGGTTATTTCCATATTGTGGCTATTGTGAATAATGCTGCAATGAACATGAACATGCAGATATGTGATCCAGCTCTACATTTTTTTGGATATATAGACAGAAGTGGGATTACTGGATTACATAGTAATTCTATTTTTTAATTTTTGAGGACCTTCCTTATTTTTCATATGACTATCCTACTTGGTACAAATTGGTATGTCATGATTTTGGTTTGTATTTTTAATGATAAGTGATCTTGAACATCTTTTCATATGCTTATTGGCCATTTATATATCTTCTTTGGAGAACTGTCTTTTCAAGTCCTTTGCCTCCATTTTAACTGAGTTTCTTTGTTGTTGTCAAGTTACAGAATTTTCAGATATAATCTGAATATTAACTATCAGTTCAATTTTCAAGTATTTTCCCCATCCCATAGGTTTCTTTTTCACTCTGTTGATATCCTTTAATGAAAAGTTTTAAATTTCGATGTAGTAAAATTAATTTTTGCTTATGTTGTTTGGTGTCAAATCCAGTGTCATGAAGCTTTACACTGTTTTCTTCTAAGAGTTTTATAATTTTAGTAGCTCTTATATGTTTGGATACGTGATCTATTTTGAGCTAATTTTTGTATTGGCAAAAGGTAAGAATCCAACTTCATTCTTTTAAATGTGTATATCCAGTTTTCCAACACTAATTGTTGAAGAGTCCCCACTGTGTAATCTAGGTGTCCTTGTGGAAAAGCATTTATCTTAAAATTTCTTGATATGATCAACTGCACCTAAACTGTTTTCAAAATACATATAGATGGATTAAGCTCCTTGACTCATTTCTCTCTATCTGGTTACTATTCTATTTTTCTCTAAGAGGTAGAGTTTGACAGGTAGATAGTAATGGCTTGTTTCTTAAATGCTCTTCTTTTATGTTAATAAAAGGAGGCAATAATAAACATAAATAGATTAGAGGGTAGGCTTTTTAAAAAAGTTTTACTGGGGATTTTCTGTCTTTCTCAGAGTATTCTGGAATGCCTACAGTTTCAGATTCTCCTATTTCAGTACTAAGACATGATGCTCATTTCTAATACTATCAGCTTTAGGTATATATTTTTAGGTATATATTTTTAATCCTGTTTCTTAGTTTTCCTAAAAGCAGCATATTTATGTTAGGAGTTGATGCCTCAACTCCGTCCGGGGTTCCCAAAGACCACACGGAGCCAGAGATGCAAAAGCAAAAAGGCTTTATTGCTAGCTTAAGCTAGGGCCCAACTCTGCCTGGAGTACTGACACAGCAGTCTCACCAGGTTGAGAGAGGGACCCCCTTCCAGAGCAACCAGCTATTTTTGTACTTTGTTGACAGGATTCGGGGACTTTTCACACCTGGGACAGGGTCCACCTTGATTGGATAGCTCTCATGGTGCCAGCTAGGTTTCGTTTACCCTTGGCTTGTGGTTTTTGCCCCAAAACGAAACTAGCTGTGCCCTTTTGAGATGGCAGTTATTTCTCAAAATGGCTGCAGTCTTGCTCATCTTACATTTACAAGTTAGTTTGTATATCCATAAAGTAACACTGAAGTTATTTGCATAAGAAACATACCAAAATTGATTTTTATCTAAATCATTAGGCTATAGTCTCATCAGAATGAAATGGCAACACACAGAATCAGGCCTGCATGTGGGCTCTCTCTCAAAACACACACACACACACTCCATTACCTGCAATATCTATCTGCAAGGATTCTTTGTTTTCTGACCAGGCTTCCTTTGTAACTGGCCTCTTACTCTGGACCTCCTCTATTTGTTTAATTTCTTCAGTGTCTGGTAAATTTTCGATTTTTGTGTCTGGTAGTTGAGCTGAGCTCCCTGTAGCAGCAGCATCACTGGAACCTAAAAAAGGGAAATTAACACAGTATCCAGAAAGGAAGTTGACAAAAATATTTAAAATAACTCTTAAGCATCTATTATGTGTAAGGCATTGTTACAGATGTTAAAGAAAATAAAAAGATCAATCAGAAATGTGTTCAGAAATTATAGATCTAAAGTGGAGTTAAAAAACAAACAAACAAACAACAACAAAAAAAGGGACCTCCCTGGTGGCACAAGAGGTTAAGCACCACACTATGAAGCAATCCACAGCCTCTGCAGCATGAGTTCGATCCCCGTCCGGCGAGGGAGCTACACATAAGGAGAGGCAGCGCTCTCCTGACTCGCCCACTGCTCCCCTCAGCAGTGTATTTCAGTCAATCTGCCTGTTCTGTTCCTGCATCTCTGGCCTGTACCCAAGCTCTTGTATGCATAAATAAATAAAATCTTTTTTTAAAAAATGTGCAAAAACATATTTCATGCAAGGTAAAAACAATTACAAGAAAAAGAGCTAAAAAACTTTAAGTTCTCAGAGCAAGAGAAAGTACTTCCAGCTGGGAGAATCAATGGAGACCTCTGAATTAAGTACAGCTGATAGGAGTATTTAAAGATATCTGAGGTGGGTTCCACACTGAGATGGAAAGAGAAAGACATTTTAACAAAGGTCACTACATAAAATAAGACTGGAGTCAGGAAAGCAACTGAACATCTATGACATGAGGCCTGTATATGGTTTATTTGATTATTGAATCTGTAAGGAATAAAAGTGAAAAGTAGAATTTTAAGTTTCAGGGTCAATTCTGTTCTAAAAGACTATGCTAAAAGAGTTTAGATCTTATTTTTAAGGATAACGAAAACATTTTGAATATAAGGCTAACACAATCACAATTGTTTCTGGAATATTCATTTAGAAATAGCAAAAAGGAAGGGTAAAATTTTGAAGTGTTGTCCAAGACACAATATGACATGAAAACAAAGAGAAGTCTCTAATTATGCTTTCAAAATATTTCCAATTATAATTGTGAGAGAGACTGCCTGCTAGCTTTTGAAATCCATTTTCCTTTTCTTCTAAAACACACTGACTTATTAGCAAGGCATAAGGTTCCTAGAGTAAAGATTATATTTTCTAACCTCCCCAGCAATGTATACTGGAGTAACCATGTAAGTTTGCCCAATTGGATGGAAGGAGAATGGTACATGAAACTTCCAAGAATAACTTAAAAGAAAGGATATGATTTTCTTTCCCCTTTCTTCCTTTCTGCTGGCTGGAATATGGACCTGAGGCTACAGCATGAGAATGGAAGCTGAAAATGCTGGAACAGGAGAGAATGAGCTTTGTTCTTTGATACTCTGTGATACCACATCAACACTGGATGTCTACCTCTGGATTTTTACAAGGAAGAGAAATAAATTCCTGTTTTTAAAGGCAATGTTATTTTGTTTACATCTCTTAGTGCCAAAACTAACCCTAATTTAAATCCACCATTAGAGACATTAATCAGCACAGTTCCACTGAAGTAACTGGATGGGTAATTAGGAAGGAAATAAGCTGAATTCCTAATGAACAACAAGTATTAGAGTCAGCATCTTAATACACTGAGATTTTTTTATCAGTAGTTTTTTTAAGTTTATAATGTGAATTTTTGACAATGAGGTTAATTTGTATACTATATTCACCTTTAAAGTTCTCCAGAAATATATCATAGGGCTTTAAAGATACTAATTTTACATGACAATATATACCACAAAATGCAGCTAATATACCATTTGAAACACGAGCAAGCTAAAGAGTTTAAAGAAAGTAAGAGGATACTTTTCTGTTGATACTAATTAGATGGCTACAAGAAAATAACAATAGATAATCTAGCTTAGTTACCTGCAGTGTCTTTCTGCAAGGATTCTTTCTCTTCAGAACGTGCACCCACAGTCACTGCCCAATTACTGTGAATTTCCTCTTCACCGTTTTTATCTAAGAGCCTCTCATCCTTGGTGAAGATAACTTGAACTTCAGCATCTGTAACAATGACATCATTTGCTCCCACAGAGAAGGAGAAGATAACAAACACAATCGCGAAGAAACCCCTACCCATTCCCCAAACCTTTTTATATATTATGAAATAAGTTCCTCTTAGGTCCCACTATATGAAAGCTGTGACAGTTGTGGTAGGTTTACAACACAAATTGGAAAGTTCTGCATATTGCTCTTCGTATGACAATGATTTAAATAAAATGCCACTTTAAATAATATCTGGTTTTTAATGGTATTATGCAAGAGTTTTTTAAAAAGTCTAAGAACAAGTGTCTTTTTTCAAAGTAAAAAGGTAAATTTAAACTCTTTCAAGTTCTTTGGCACTAAAGTTTTTGTGACTTATTATGAACCCAATTTTGTTACTTCATATAATAATCCTAGAGACACACCTGTATCATCTAGATTTTATACATAGCAATCAGAATATTAAAAATCTTCTGAAGTTATATCCTCTTAAACTTGTCTAATTTTTCTATTTTCTTTGGTCTGGAATTCTACTTTGTCAATACTTACATTGCTCACTAGTATTCATTTAGTTAGTATTTGTTAAATATATATAACTTTCTAAAATCTTACTTTTTGGAGGAAAGGACAAATTATAATTTAATCAAAGTCTCATACACATATGTAAAACTTTTTTGTAAGTCAAATAATTTCATGAGGATTATTACAAAAGTCAGCAGTTCCCTTATCTACTTCCTTCCAACTACCCATTTTCTAAAGGCCACCAACTCATTTAGCCACTCCTTCCAGTGTCAACAGAAGCAACTCATATCTTCTAGTATTAACTGGTATAATAATATACTTTATTATACTGCTGTATTCTTTTTAGTTCCAGAAAAAAACTGATTTTCTTCTTATCAATATAGATCACTGTTTTTACAAAAACCTTCCAATCAAAGACAAATCCTCTTATCCTATCTTCTGAGCAGTGTCAGCTATTAATGTTCAATGTTGATATATTGTTATGTAAATAGCAGCCATAGTGATTAAATCAATATACAGTTAAAGTTCAGTATTTAATATGATTGTTATTTAATTACTATTCAGTTAAGTCAATTAATATCCTACAATCACATGTATTTTCTTTTATAAATTTCTGAATTTCCTGAAGAGTTTATGATGGCCTTGTTTAATTTTTGTTAAGTTTCTATATACCAATCCCTACTTCTTCCTTATAAATAGAACTGAAAATCTCTTTTAAATATAGTCAACTAGGGCCTCCCTGGCGGCGCAGCGGTTGAGCGCTGGGCTGCGAGGCTGCAAGCGGCCTCTGCAGCGCCGGTTCGGTCCCGGCTGCTCTCCGGCCGCCGGGGGAGGGTCCCACATGGCGCGCAGACCTCTCCTGCCGCCCGCTGCTCTCCTCAGCAGTGTACTTCAGTCCTTCTGCTTGCTCTGCTGCCGGCTCTGGCTCTGGCGAGTTCTCTCACCCTCCCGCGCTTCTGACTGTACCCAGTGCTTGTATAAATAAATAAATAAATCTTTAAAAAAAATAAAAAATATAGTCAACTATATGAGGCAGCTTAACAATTTGACATTTTTCTTACAGTTCTCAGTCTGAACTTCTAGATCTCTGTACCAATGCCTCAATGGGAATTCCTTTCCCTTCTTCTCCTTTGCTAGCCATTTCCTCCATCTTATGTTTTCCTTAAAAAAAAAAAAAAATTAAATCTACTCCCTTGTTTTATTTTTTCATTTTTTTTTAATTTAACTTGTGATTTTTTTTTTTAAGATTTGTTTATTTATACAAGCACTAGGTACAGTCAGAAGCACGGGAGGGTGAGAGAATTCACCAGAGCCAGAGCGGAGAGCAGAGCAGGCAGACTGACGAAGTACACTGCTGAGGGGAGCAGCGGGCATGGCAGGAGAGGTCTGCGCGCCATGTGGGACCCTTGCCTAGCGGCCGGGGATTGAACCGGATGGGCAGAGGCTGCAGGCAGCTTCGCAGCCCAGGGCTCAACCGCTGCGCTACCAGGGGAGGCCCTACTCCCTTGTTTTAGTGAAATAATTTTCCCTCAAAATTTTAAGGCATTAATCCTTTGGTTTCTAGCTCCATCTATTGCTTTTGAAAAATCTGATGATAAAACTGATTTTCACTTATTTATATGTGACTTGTGTTTTCTATTCGGAAGCTTTTAGAATCTTTTGTTCCAAGGTTTTGAAATTTCAAGATCATGTGACTCAGTGTGGATTTTCCATATATGTGATCATTCCTTGTAATAAGAAAATTCATATCCTTCAATTTTGGGATATGTTCCATAGTAATCCTTTGACTCCTTAATTTTTATCTTTTCTATTGTCTTGATACAACACCTGTTTTTTGATGTTGAACAAAATTTGGAGCAATTTTTCCTGTATTCTCATGTTTTATTTTTTAAGATTTTCTTATCTTACATTCTAATCCTAAATATTTTTATTTCTTATATATTTTAAGGGCTCTTAGATATTAAAACACAGGTTACTATTTAATTTCCCCAGACAGGAATTCTCCCTTCTATTCTTTTTTCTTTTTTAAAGATTTATTTATTTATTTATACAAGCACTGGGTATAGTCAGAAGCGCAGGAGGGTGAGAGAATTCACTAGAGCCAGAGCGGGGAACAGAACAGGCAGACTGACGAAAAACACTGCTCAGGGGAGCAGCGGGCACAGCAGGAGAGGTCTGCGTGCCATGTGGGACCCTCACCGGCCGGCCAAGAATAGAACTGGCGCTGCAGAGGCTGTGGGCAGCTTCCCAGCCCAGAGTTCAACTGCTGCGCCACCGGGGAGGCCCTCCCTTCTATTCTTAATCCTCTCACAGTGAAATTATTGCAGAGTCATAAAATAAGCCAAGAGGAAGCTCTTCTTTAGGATTTGGAAGTAGATGCACAGTACCAGTGGACCTCCATAATAGGAGGGAGGTTATGAAACTGTGTCAATTAACAAAGCCCAACTTTATTTCAAACACACCACCCATACCAAATGCAGCCTGGGGAGGAGATATCTGGTGAGTTCTTTGTGCAGACTTCTATTGAAGTTACCTTAGTCTATCAGTTTGTTCCCTTCCCATTTTTCCATATTAACTTCCTTCTCAAGTGTCTGACAGAGAGTTCACCTATGTCATCAAATTGTCACTAGTATATAGCAAGTAACAAGCTGTAAGGGATTCCCTAGCACATGGGGGTTTTCCCTCTGTGAACTACATTTTGTAAAAAATTTTCCTTCATATTTACTTGGCAACCTTAGCATTAGCTGATAAATGTGCTTCTTTTTGCTCATTGCAAAATTTATTTACAAGCAGATTACAAAAAACTTTTGAGTGCAACAAAGTTATTTAGAAGATAACTTTTAGTTAGTAGTCTTTAATTAGTCTTAACTTCGTAGTCTTTCGTAGTCATTTTCCTCCTGAAGATATTACTGTCATCACATGAAATTAGTGACACAATGCAGAAACTGGCACATAGAGGTAACAGTTTGAAAACTGCCCTAGGATTAGTAGCACCTATTTGACTAATACCTAGTTACAGAAATAAAAAAAAAAACGGTAAATGCAACAAAATGAAACAGGCAATTACGCATATAGAATTTTCTATGGAATTTTCACATCATAAATACTATCATATATAAAAATGTCAGTGATACAAAGGAAAACATCAAATGAATACCAAAAGACTAAAAATTTTTATAAAAAAAGGGGTCATATATGGGATAAGGTTAAAATGTAAATATACATAATGATCAGAGAGATAAGGTAGATGAATGGACAAATTTGTTTTGAGAATTTCAGAGACTGAAACAAACAGAATGTATGCCTTCCTTATAAAGGACAATCACACATCAGGGGCAGTTGATTACTGTCATGGGGAAATAAATGCTAACTGAGTACAACCAGATAGTCTGATTTTTCCAGAGCCCAAAGTCTTATTTTTAAATGTTGACAGCAAAGAAATAAATAAACACAATGAGTTATATGCTTTCCTGCAGAATCTAACCTATGAGATATTCGTTTGCAGTATGACAGATAAATTCATAAAGCAATTAATCAAGATTTTCTATGGACTTTAGTCTTCAAAACACACTTGAATATATATTATTTCCTTTTAAAAAGTTGCAACCTATTTCATTTCCATAGTGAAATATTTTTTAATTTTTTAAAATTTCGTGGTACAATTTAAAAGATTTTATAAATATTTTAACTTCTTGTATATACCCAATAGGTGAGAGAAAAACTTGGATAACAAAGCAGAAAAAAGATAAAGACTAGGCAATATTCTCATTTAGGATCAACAGGAAAGTCACAAAATACACAAAGTCAAAACAGTTTACCTGTATTATCTTTCTGAAAGGGGTTTTTCCTCACTGATAAGGCTGCCTTGCTCACTGCCCGCTTGCTATAGATCCCCTCTTTATGTTTAATGTTAACAGTGACTGCCAGGTCATCATCCCGTGTGCCTAGCACCTGAGCAGGAAAGTCTGGAGCAACGGCATCATTGGATCCTACAGAAAAATGGGGAATTGGTACAATGAACAGAAATATACATGTAAAATCGAACAACAGCAAAACTTTACCTCTATCTGTTGTAGGGTTATCAGAAGATGTCCATCAAGACTGAAACTTGATGTGTACAATAAATTGCAACAAAACAAAATAAGCAGATGATATGAGAGATGACATAGGAAGATAAACTTCTAACTCAGGAAGGTTGTCAGAGGAAGGAGAAAACAGATTGTACCCTTGGAAAATTCAGACAGGAAGAAACATACTGTAGGCAGAAGTAACAGCAAAGTAAAGGAGGTAGGAAAACAAAGAGTATATGAGAATAGACACTGTCATGGTCAGGCTGGATTATAGAATATATTCAAGAGAGTGGTAAGAGATAGTGCTAAGTAACTATCAGAGACAAAATTTAGCAAGGAATGCAATTCCAAGTTAAAGAGTATAAATTTTATTGTACGTTAAGTCAAGATCATTAAAGATTTTTTAATAGAGGGAAAATAGAGCCTCCCTGGTGGCGCAGGTGGTTGAGCACAGCACTGTGAAGCTGTCCGCAGCCTCTGCAATGCCAGTTTGATCTCCACCGGCCGCGGAGCAACCCACATGGTGCGGCAGACCTCTCCTGCCTCGCCCGCTGCTCCCCTCAAGAGTGTATTTCAGTTAGTCTGCCTGTTCTGTTCCCCGCTCTGTCTCTGGTGAATCCTCTCACCCTCCTGCATACCTGGCCTGTACCCCGGTACTTGTATAAATAAATAAATCTTTAAAAAAAATAAAAATAAAGGGAAAATATAATCAGCTAAATTTTAGGAAGATCAATCTGAAGATAATTCAAGGAGGAAAAGAACAGAAAAATGACATAACGAATTATTAATGATCCAATGAAAAAATTTTATTTTCTTTAAAAAACATTCTAATATTACTACAGACACTAGTTTGCTACAGACCCTACAAATAGTAATTTGTCCATCTCACTTACAAGAGGCAAAAGAACATCTCTGGACATATGGGTTTGTCATAACTGTAGAATTATCTTTCTTCTTCTAGTCTAGGATTCTGTACTTTACGCATTTTCTAAGTACCTAAAATGTACATGGCAGTAAGAAATGACTTTATCCCAGTCTTTTTTAAAGATTTATTTATACAAGAACTGGAGTATAGGCCAGATGCACAGGAAGGTGAGAGGGTTCACTAGAGACAGAGTGGAGAACAGAACAGGCAGACTGACGAAATACACTCCTGAGGGGAGCAGCGGGCACGACAGAAGAGGTCTGCCATGCCATGTGGGACCCTTGCCGGCCAGCCGGGATTGAACCAGCGCTGCAGAGACTGCGGACAGCTTCACAGCTCTGCACTCAACCACCTGCGCCACCAGGGGAGGCCTGGCTTTATCCTAGTCTTATCAGTACTATGTAAATATAAGTCATGAAGGGTTTTTCTGTACAGACCGCAAGGATTCTACTAAGCCTCTAGGTCAAATATACATATTATATTGGACTCTTCTCAGCTTCTGTGGCATAAATTTCTCTTATTTGCTTACTACTTTCTGGTAAATGTTTAATATTCTTTCTTCCAGCAATTCTCTCAATGCTGGAGTTACTCAAGGGGACAGAAAGAACTGGATTCTCTTCTTAGGTAAACTTATCAATTACCAATGTATGGAACGGGCAAATGCTAATGAACCAATAAACATGTATCTCTTGCTTGGGCGTGTGAGCTTCAGATTCCAGCATTCAGGATGGTTAGCCTTAAATATGTTTTCTGGTGGAAATTAGAAGAAGACACCCTTTGCTATATGGGCTAAGAAAAGACAGTTTTCTATTCTCAACTCCCTCACTCTCAGATTATTAATAAATGGAGGATGTGACTAACTACAATTTCAAATATACATAGCTACCATATTTATTCTTTTATTGATGCCTTTGGTATATTATTTACAGAGAAAATACTTCTCAGAATAAAATGCAGCACCATGAGTCACTTTCTCCTTCCAACACCCATCATTGTCTGATTCTTCTCGAAGAAGAGAATTAGTCTCCAACTAGAATGACGACTAAGGGATGTGAGTGGTTAACAGGACACTTAAAGACACCTGATCAGATTTCTATTGATACAAACATTCTGTCTTCAGAATTAAGAGACGTGAAAGTGAGAGAGGTATCAAGATTTTCCTATCTACAGTTAAGTGAGATTGCTTTATTTCTGGTAGACTAAGCACGTTTTTAAAATCATATCCTTGCAGGTAGTAAAAATGTCTTCGTAGTTTCTGAGTATAGGTTTAACAATAAATCCTAACATTTGGTATTATGAGCATTTTTTGTGGTACTTTTTCAATAAGAAATTAGGAGTAGTTATACCAAGGGCTTTATACTCAGTTACCACTAGATACTAGCTTGGCCCTCTTAATAGTATTAAAAAAAATTTTGCCTAAGAGACAACTTCTTTCTGTGCAATTTCTATACAAACAAAGGTATCTATTGACAAATCATGAAAAAGGAAAAAGGTGCATCTAAACTGAACCATGGCATCTCCTCAATTCAAAATGTCACCTTATCAGTCAAATACCATACCATATAAACTCAGTATTTTTACTGAATCCCCACAGGAAACATTTACTGATTTCTTCCAGAGGGCGTTATTTGTTTTCAAAATCTGCAATTTATCTACGGTGATCTCACTAGAGTACTATAGGATATTAAAAAATTCTAGGGAAATAACTGTGATAATTGATAACTGGTATATCCTATATAAAACTACTAGAGCTAAGGTAGTTTAAAGTTTCAAAGAGATTGCTATACTCTTTTCAACACTGGTTTTTCTTTGCAAAGCTGGATTTTTGACAGTTTCTCTGTAAGAGTGGGAAATGAACAGTGGCTGTATCCAATTTCATGTCAATGTTGGAGAAACTGTAGACTGTTTCAACTTTGCATAGCTCAGTAATAAGTGGTTATTTGTGAACAAAGTAAAGTATTTCCTTTAAAAATCAAAACCAAAAAGACCTAATGTTTTTATTAACTTGTTAGCTCAAAACAATTAAGTATTCATCATAATAACTTGTATATTTATATGCATTTCACACAATGATGAAGGGGGAAAATCACTGAGACACTGAAGACAGTGTGAACAGAGAAAATCTAGAGACATTTGTGTTAGATGGAGTCTACTAACCCAGATAAACAGTAACTGTCCAATAGAATTTTCTTTTCTTTTTTTTTTAAAGGAAAGATTTTGTTTTTAAAGATTTATTTATTCATGCACACAAGAACCAGGGTACAGGCCAGATGCGCAGGAAGGTGAGAGGATTCACCAGAGACAGAGTAGGGAACAGAACAGGCAGAATGACTGAAATACACTGCTGAGGGAGCAAGTGGCGAGACAGGAGAGGTCTGCCTTGCCATGTGGGATTCCCCCGGCCAGGATCAAACGGGCGCTGCAGAGGCTACAGACAGCTTCACAGCACTATGCTCAACTGCCTGTGCCAACAGGGAAGGCCCCCAATAGAATTTTCTTTATCAAATATTTAGTAAATGCCTAAATGTGTGTCATACATCTGACCAAGTAACTCATGTATCCAAACCAGAGATTGAAGCATGAAAAGCGTATTTCACTGCAAGATAAAATAGCATTGAGCTTTCCAATGTCATCCCAGAATTAACCAGCCAATGCACAGGTAAAATTGAAAAAGAAAAATTTTTTAAATAATTTTTCTGCATAATACCTGAGTGGGAGCTCTCAATGGTGGTGTCTGATTTGGAATCCAGAGATGGAGGAATCTGGCTTAATTGGGGAACATAGTACATCTTTGTATCCCCAGAAGGTTTATATGGCAACAGTGACGGCTGGGCTAAGGAGATAAAGATGAGAACAACTGATAAGAAATCACTTATTAATTCATCAAACAAACATTGAGTACCTTCAATATTACCACGCAATGTTCAAAATTCTTAGAATACATCAGTGAACTAAACAGAAAAGTACCTATGCTTTCAAGAAAAAACTATTGTAGCATTCTAGGGGAGAAGCATTCTAGGGGAGAAACATAAATTATCTAGTATTCTAATAAATCAGGGATATGAAAGAAACAATGTGAAATTGCTAAGGGAAATTATGAGTATTGGGGAAATTGAGACAGTATGACGTTTAAATGGGGTGGTTTGGGTAGGTTTCACTATTTTTAGCAATCTATTCTGCATATAGATTACTCTAAAAGTATAAGCATATTATGTTATATTGAATCCAAACTCGGTCATTGTTAATCCCTACTACTGGGTCTAGCCAGGGAGAAGTTGCCTTATGTCAAGAGAACAAAATAATGTTTGGAGGAGAGAATAATTTAAACAACAGAAAAGAGTGCCATAGTCTCCACTTCTATTTGGTCATTGCTGTAGTCATTATTGCTAAAATACTGATTTATTAACTTTCTTCCTCCATTAGTGTATATAAAGCTTGATAGTAATGGTTAAATTTACCATTTAGTTTAAAAGTTGCAGAAAATGAACAACTGGGCAGAATTACAAAGGACCTAGAGAAGAATGGCTATCATTTAGAGATGGAGAATTCTGAGACAGTCAGTGACTTTTTGAATTATCAGTTACTTTATGTTTGGATACAATAGTCCTAAGGTTACTTTGGTCAGCCTGCCTTTGGGGGAAGAAGCAACAAAGTAATAAATAATGGTTGCTTCTGGAAAAGATACTAAGCATAGGAAAGGGTTAAAGAAGAAAGTTCAACTATAAAATTTGCTTCTCCAAAAATATTGCAACATATTACTGGTAAGGGATAAATATTCAAGATATGTTCATTATCATTTCTAATAAGAGAGATGCAGATTAAATCTGTAATAAGAGGCCATATGGTGAGAAAGGGACATATTAGAAAGATCGCAACAAGTATGGGTAAGGATGAAGAGAAAAAGGAACCCTATTAGACTGTTGAGAATGTGAATTGGTGCAAACTTTATGGAGAGCTATCTAGGTTTACCTTAAAAAACTAAAAATGGCAATACATATTGACTGGCAATCCCATTCTTGGGCATATACCCACAGAATTTGAAACCATCAACAAACAACCCAAATATTTCACAGTGTTCACAACAGCATTATTTACAACAGCTTAAGATATGGAGCAGCCCAAAAGTCCATTGACAGATGGCTGGATCTAGAAGATGTGGTATATACACAACATGGAGGAATATATAGCCACAAGAAAGTATGAAATGCAGCTATTTTAAACAAAATGGAGGGAAGTAAGAGAATCATGTGCAGCAAAGTAAGTCAGAAAGATAAAAACAAGTACTGGACATTTACAAATTCAATAACATAAAACACTTTCAAACTCCAGTGGACATCAATAAACATCCTAAAGGTAAGGGCTGGAGAGGAAAAAGAATAAGGGGATACAAAAGATGGAGGTAGGGGAAAAAATGTTAAAAGATATTAGTAAAAATATTTTCTTCAAATTGAATATATAAGCATATAGCATTACAATGAATTTTAATTCAGAGTAGTGGGAAAATAGTCATATGTGTAACATTATTTTTTTGTACTTTAAAACATTTTCATATGAAAAAAAATTGCACTTTTGAATCCACAATATTAATAATGTATTATTAAGCAAATAATTAATCCTTTAAAAGGAATCCTTTTCCTCAAGTACCTATAAGCAAAGGTAAAACCTTTACTAACATAAATTACGGCCTTTTATAGATTGATCCATTTGATGTGAGTAGAGATTTCAGATACACCTTCACAGTTATGTTTCCCTAATTGTGCTTCTGCCAGAACAACAACATATCCCAGGGTAGCTACTGTACCATTAACTTGGGTCTCAGATTGCATCATATGGAATAAATCCAAGCCATTTCCGCAGACTGGAACAAGCTAGGCAAACTCTAATTGACCCACAAGCTTTCAGTGAGAAAAGCAAGTATTTTCAGTTATAAAGTACTGAGATTTTTTAGGTTATTAATTATATGATAACACTGTAGTAAAAGATTACTGATAAAGGTGCTCTTTGTGATATTAAACTATAATTTTGGGGGCATACTCTTATTTCACAATAAAGATGTATAAGAAGTATAACCATATTAATATATATACTTATGCAAATTAAATTCAGTGCTATTTAAATACCAAACCATACAATTTTCCTTATCATTTAGGCAAATCCCATCTATATCTACATGTTAATAGTTTTTGCATAAGTAAAATATTAAATATATTTTGAATAGATTTATACAACCATTAAATACTTAAAAATTAGCAATTTAAAGTTTTCACCTTCATTTGGCAGAAAAAGAAAACTTAATCATTAACTATGCTGTTATTGGTCTGAAAAAGAAAATAACTTACTCTAATTTTAAAGGTTACACAAGCACTATTGAAATATCACTGTCTCTATAGTATACACACTCTAATATAGTTATGGCAGAGACTTAGAGCTGTTTATCAAAATCCATTTCTTCTATATCCTGGAAAACACAGGTAAACTATGTCTAATCAGTGATTTTCAGACACTTCCAGGCCCAGCCCATAAAAACCTCCCACATATACTCCTCCATTGCTTTTTGTTCCTACCAGTTAACTGTGCCAATGAATACAAGGTAAGGTCATCATGAGTTCCATGTTTTAAAGACAGCAGGTCATTGTCAACCTGGGTCCCTGGTCATTGTCATAAACAATAAATAAACTGATATTGTGTTTGTACTATTATGAATTTTGCTATTTAGTTATACTTACTATAACACAAGATGCCAATAGTTTACCTACCACCTAAAATTGGAATTGTCATTTTTAAGCTTTTATGATCTACTTGCATTCATATTACAAGTATCACGACATGAAAGTATGCCAATTCCAAGCAGAATGAGTTCCATATATGGTGTTCACTCCACTAGAAATTAAGATTAAACAAATAATATTCTCTTCATAGTTATGTAAATAATGTGTGTATGTGTGTATAATCACATGTATCTTAATACTTAAAAATTAGAATTCTGACAAGGAAGATACAAGTGACAATTTTCTAAGATAATTACACCAAAAAGTTGGTAATACGACCTAAAATGCAATGACATTCTCTTACCATCTGGGCCACGAGAAACAGAAATCTGTTGGATTGAAGATGAGGAAGCAAGTTTGATGGGAACTTTGCTGAGCATCTTCTGGGTTTTAGGCTCTGGAATTGCATGTGCAAGATCTGTATCATTAATAAATATCTCAGAGGAAAGCAAAGTTTTATCTGGACTTTCTGTTGTTATCTGAGTGACTGCATCAGACAATAATTTTCCAGAAAAGGTTGAAAACGGTGTCTTAATCTCCTCTGAAGGTCTAAACAAAATAGACAAAAGGAAATAGTAGGTCATATCCCTGACTTATCAAATATCATAGTCTTTTTCCAAAATATTCAAGGAATATTTAAGTAATTTCAAGGAGTATTTTGTGTAGACACATCAATCTCAAATGGTTCTTTCTGTTAAACTTCATTTTCTTAAATACTTTTTATTTGTGATTATGCATGAGCTTAATTTTATTTTAAAAGCTTTTAATTTCAATTCAGAATGCTATTAAGGAATTTAGCTGTATAAAAGATACTCTTCAGTTGATGTGAAATATGTGCATTCCTTCTTAAAAATTTGCTAGAAGTTCACTATAAATTAGAGTATACAAACATAAACAAAACCCAACACCTTCCTTCAAGGAGTTTCTGTCTTGGGGCAGGGGCAACAGTTTTTTAAGGTTGCAGTTAAATATTAAGATTATAAAACATTCATATCAAAACAGAATGGAATAAACAAATGATTGAATAAATAATAGGAAGAGAGACAAATCCTGCCTACTGAGGAATTTCAAAAAATATGTGTATGTTCTGTAACCTTAGGATGTAAAGTTTAAATTCTCCCACCCCACTTGAGTATGGGCAGGACTTAGGGGCTGCATTCCAAACAGCAGAGAAAAAGGAGAAATAGGAAGAGTAACTTTACAATGGAGAAACCTGGCAAACACAAACATGACAATCCCAGTGACGTTGATTCCCTTCATCAGTGATACGATACATATATTGCATAATCTCTGCTGTGATGTGAGAAGATACTTTGCTTCTGTGATATTCTTTACTAAAATCCACAACTCCAGTTTAATCATGAAAAAAAAAAAAAAAAAAAATCAGCCAAAACAAGACTGAGGGATCTTCTACAGAATACCTAACCAGAACTTCTCAACATTGCTAAAATCATGAAAAACAAGGAAGGAATGAAGAATTGTCTAATCCAGAGAAGACTAGTAACTAATTGACATGATAGCTCATTAAAAGGAATGTGATACATTGGACTGGGTCCTGAAACAAAATGGTCATTAATGGAAAAAATAGTGAAATCCACATAATAGCTAACAGTAATGTCAAATGTTGATTTCTCAATTTTTGACAAATGTACCATGGTAATGTAAAATGTAGAAAGTAGGGAAAACTGGGAGAGGAGTATAATATGTTTGCATCTTTTCTGTAAATCTAAAATTGTTCAAGAAATGTTATTTTTTTTTAAATGGAGTAATTCAGGATTTTATTATATTGTATTAATATTGATATAACAAAAACAGAAGAACTTCTAGATTATACCCTATCTGTTATTCACTAACTGAAAATGGCAATTATGAGAAAGAAAATAGGCCATTTTCTCTTAGGAATATAGGGGCAAAAATCCTAAACAAAATATTGGAAACCAAATGTTATATGGGCACAAGAGTATTCTGTGGGCTTCCTTGCTTTATAACAAATACACACAAGTAATGTTTGTGTGAATCCTACCAAGATCATTTATTCCAGAAATACAGGTAAGCATTCAAAAATCAATGTGATTCACCACATAAATAAAATAAAGGCATATGACCATGTCAATATAATCAGATGATGCATCTGATAAAATTCAGTAATTATGAGTAAAAACTCATAACAAAGGGAAAACTACCATATTTATAGTGAAATATGGAGAATGCTCACTGTAAGATTAGGTACAAAATAAGAATGCCAACTCTTACCATGCCTATTTTTTATGGCACTAGCAGGAGGGCAGGAAAATGAGTCATAAGGATAATAAAGGAAGAAATAATTCTGTCATTTTTTATATTTGATATTAGGCACATAGACAACCCAAAACAATCTGATAGCTTACTAGATTATAATTAAGTTTTTAGAAAAGTTGCTAGATGATATCAAATTTCTAAAAATCCACATTTTTCAGTGTCAGAAAAGTGGTAAAATTAAAAGTAAAAAGATATGCCATACACAGTCATCAAGTATCTAGTCATAAGTATACAAAAGATGTAAGAACTCTAAGTGGAAAACTATTAATAGAGAGAACATACAGGTAATTTCTCTCACAGATATAAATTATCCATAGAAAGAAACTAAAGATGACTTCCACTTCCAGGCAGGATGTAATAGATAGCCACAAGCCACTACACCTATTGCAACAAGCAAACAAAATGGGATACATTACAAAACCATAGTTAACAGTATCAACTAAGATACTAGAGAGGGGCATTTTGGAGCTTCTGGGAGGGGCCTGTTATAAGCACACATACAACACTGCAAAAGAAAAATCATTGGATCTTTGATGAACCCATGGGTTGGTATGATGGAAAGAAATCTAGCAGAATGCCGAGTTCATTTCTCCCAGAGGATATTTCCCAGTGTTAGGTTGGTATGGGAGGGTGGGGAATTGAGTCAGAAAAGCAAAGTGAAATCTCCATCATAATTATGGCACTAATAAACGACCAAGTCCCTAGACAGAGGGATCTCTGACAAACAAACAATTAGGTCTTATCCGCAAGGTATCTGTCAGATTTTGAACTTGCATAAGGCTGGAAGCTAAATAACTAACGTCTGAGGGAGAGAATTTTTAATGGTAAGGAATTAGAGACTTATCAGACTCCCAATACAAAAACAGAAGTGCCACCTTCTAGGAGGTAGAACGGAGAAACAGTAATGTCATTTGCAATTTTTGAGTGCGTCTGAGATAATTTTTCACTGAGAAAGTTTAAAATAACAAATGGGTAGCTGGTCTTCTCTTACATTTGCCATATTACAAATCTGTGCAGAATGAGAGTCTGTAGAGGTGAACTCGAACATCTCAAAGAGTGAACTATGTTACCATATTTAATTACCAAAGAATCAAAGACCTGTCAGGCATAAAACAAAACTCCAGAGAGGTCACACATCAGGAAAAATCATAAGTAGACTGAGTCAACCAAAGCGCTAACCGAGATCTGACTCAGTAAAATACCTGAAATGAATGAAGTAATTAACCACTCTATCTGATTAACAGAGAAACAGGCAAATCCTCTCTGGCTAATGGTAATAACATGCTCACTCTCTGTGATTTTTGTATTTACAATGTCCAGCACACAATCAGTAAAACTTGTAAGGCAGAAAAAAAGTAAAAATCGAGAGAAAACAGATAGAAATGGATTTATAAAGGATTCTATACATTCTATTTATATGGGATACTAGAATTAGCAAAGGACTTTAAAATGACTGTTACTTTAATAGGAATAAAAGATGGGGGCAGTAGATTAAAATGTAGAGAATCAAATACAGGCAAATAAAATATAAGAGAACTGATCATCAACAGACCTGAGGAAATACTAAGAGAAATTTTAGTAAAATAATCCAACATAGCACAGTCCTAATCCAAAATAATAGAGCACTTAAAGTGAGTGTGTAATAAATACATACACATATAAACATGTCTTTTTTATACACATATGCTTATGTGTTATATAGTTATATAGTATTATATAGTTATATAGTGTTATAGTGTTATATGTGTTATACAGTTCATATATACACATATACGAAGTAGAATAAATCAACAATTTCTGGTGGACATTTTATGAATATGTAGGACATTTATGAATATGTATGACAATAAAAGCATAAACATCAGTAGCAGGTAATTGGAGTTAAACTGTTGTGAAACTCTACCACGTTCAAAAAGTGGGAAGAATACTAATTGTAGAGATGAGGGAGTATATTATAATCTTTAGCATAAATACTGAAAGTGATAGAAAAAAATGTAGTATCAAATATGACATCCAATTTTTTACCCAATATTAATTTCCTCCAATATTATAATATCCGATACAGGAGGCAAATCAACAGAGCCAATAATATGAATAAAAAGTAAATGATTAAAATAATGAAGGACAAACATGATAAACAGGAATAAGCAAAATGGCAGAATTAAAAATTAAATAAAACATAATAAAGGTAAATAGCAAAAATAAAACAAAAATTTTAAAGTTTAAAAAGTTAAAACCAACCATCTCAAAGATTATATAAAATGAGCTTAATATCCCAATTGAAAGATAAAAAATAAGACCCACCTCTATGCTATTCACAAGAGATGGTTTAAATAAGGTCACTGAAAGCACAAGAACTAAAAAAATGACATACCAATCAAACATTAATCAAAGATAGGCTATTACGACTCTTTCCCCTCCTCTTGCCTTTTAATTCTTCTCTCTTTTTTTTTTAAAGATTTATTTTTTTAATTTATTTATACAAGCACTGGGTACAGTCAGAAGCACGGGAGGGTGAGAGAATTCGCCAGAGCCAGAGCGGGGAGCAGAACAGGCAGGAGGACCGAAGTACACTGCTGAGGGGATCAGCAGGCGCGGCAGGAGAGGTCTGCGTGCCATGTGGGACACTCGTCGGTGGCCGGGGATCAAACCGGCGCTGCAGAGGCTGCGGGCAGCTTGGCAACCCAGCATTCAACCGCTGCACCACCGGGGAGGCCCTAATTCTTCTCTTTCTTTTATCTTTCCCTCCTGAACAATCAAATCTTAAAACAGAACACAAGCTGGGCGTCTATAGGGGGTGACCCAGAATAAGACAAAGCCAAAGTGAAGAGGGTACCACCCATGTAAAAGAGTAGCCTAATGAGGGCTATCGGAATCCAAGAAGGGCAAGGAAGAGAATGTCTGTGGAGGTGTGGCCTGGTGTGCAATATCAGAACCTGATCAGGAGTAGCAGATTCAGCTTGGCATGTGAAATTAAAGAGCCCAAATAGATGAGGAAGGTGTCTCTATAGTCGGGTAGCCTGACATGGATCGGCAGAGCAGAAGGAAAGTACAGGAAATATCTTCATAGACAGGCAATCTGGGTTGGGAAGTCAGATCTCCTGTGGGAGGAGGAGAGGGTCATCCAAGAGCTAGGGGGTGATCATTTTGGTGGGTGTACCCAGAGAAAACGCAGGGTGGGAAGGACATCTACCACACAGTCTGAAGGGAAGCAGTCTTACCTGAGATGTCAGAGTCAAGGAAAAGAGAGT